GGCCGCACCGTTTGATAAGACTGACTTTCCAAAGTCAAGCTTCTCCCGAGGTGGAAAATTTTAGCGAGATGATATCGGAAAAGAGAGAGAGAGAGAGGGGGAGAGAGAGAGAGAGAGAGAGAGAGAGAGAGAGAGAGAGAGAGAGAGAGAGAGAGCATGCGCTGAGATTATGCAAAAGATAGCGGGATTGTACGATAACTTCACCAAACGGAAGCAATTCTTTGTCTTCGTGGAGAAGTTCGGATTGTAATGCTTATAATTTTCTGTTGCCGCACATTCAAGATAAATATTAACAAAACTGACAAAATTCCACGGACTAAATTACACGGTGAGCCTAAATGAGACCAGTATAATCGCATTATTTATGATATATGCAGCGGAAAGTATCACATAGAGATCGTAACGTAAAACAAATTTTAGGGCAGATATATGGACATGCAGAAACAAGTCTTGCTTGACGAGATCCATAACTTTAACACATCAAACAAATGTACTTTCGACAACCTACAAAGAAATAACTGATTCCATGGATTTATGTAATGCCTTTGATGTTTGCGTAATAATTAAATCAAAATCGATTTGCCACTGTTGCTTCAGATCGTAATTTAATTTACAGCAATTGGGTAATATTCTCCAAATGGAGACCCTCCCATCCATGGATGTGAGGCGGGAAAATGGGAATCGAAATAGCCGAACGGCCTCACCACGTGGAGCACGAGGGTTCTAGGTCACCCTGTATAACATCCTTCCATTGCTCCGCGAGAAAGTTCCAATTAGCAAATATTATTCGCGGGAGAAATTCCCAATTCTCTTTATCGAGTTCAAATATCGAGGTTCCCTCGCGCTCAACTGTGTCGGCGGAGAGAGCAGTGTCGAGGGTGGGGCGGGGGGATGCAGAGGAACTAATTCCCAAAGGAAGGGATGATGGGGGAAGAAGGATGGATCGCGGTACGAATCGTATACGGCAGCAACTGTACTTTTACCCTCCAGAAAATAGGAACGCGTCGCGTACCTCGTCCGGTCTCTCACCTTCCCATTATTTTGCCCAAACTACTTATTCCCACGTTTAACCCCCCCCCCGAGTCTCCCTCGCGTCAGGACGGCCATTCCGAATTCAACGTTACATTTGTACGGCTAATCTTCATCATACGACGTCACCTTCGTATGACGAAGATTAGCCGTACAAATGTAACGTTGAATTCGGACCGGCCGTAAGGGGCTCGGGGTAAAATCGTTGCGCAACGCGAAAAAATTTTCCGTCCCACTTTTCGTCCGCTCTCGACGCGCCCGGCGAGATCGCGTTTCGCGACGCGTGTAATATCAGCATTACACGGCATACTGGAGTGTCCCCCCCCCCTCCTTCCCCCCGCGCCTCCCCGCCGAATCGTTTGCGCAGCGATGGACCCACCCGCGCGAGCTCGAGTATCGAAATTCCAGCCGCGCGCCCCACCCCGAAAAAGGAATTCCCTCGTCGCGGCGCCGGGCATCCGCGGCGCGTGCATCCGGCGCAGAATTCAGGAGGAACGAAAGACGTCTATCTCGTCTCTCCTCCGTTGGCGTGGGTCAGTAGACTAGATACCTCGACAGGAAGGGGCCGGCGGAGGGGCAGGGGGGGGGAGGGAGGGGGGAGGAAGGCCAGCGGGATATTCGATACCGGGGGCATGGATCGCGCGCGGCCTGTGCGGAGTGACGCTGGTGCCACCCTAACGTGGCACGTGGGGCGCTACCAGGTGTTGCCTAGACATCGGGTCGATGCCGAACGCAGGCGCATGTGCGACTACCCCGACCCCCCTCACTCGCCCGCAACCCCTTTCGTCTCTCCTCGCGGCATCCTCTCGCGCTCCGCGTGCCGCTATCGCCCTGTCGCTGTCCCTCCCCGTGCTCGGGCCGCGTCCCACCCTCGTCTCTCCGCCGTTTTTGCACGAGGGGGAGATACACCCCTGCGCGGTATCTCCCCGGCGTGCGCGCCACCCTTGCGCTACCACCACCGTCACCGTCGCCGCACTACCACCGTTCTCGGCGACAACAAGTAGACGTATATCGCCTTGGTATCGCTACTATGCAGCCAATCTTCCGTAGGAATTACCATCTACCCTCTCTCTTCCTCTATTCCCTCTTTGTCTCTCTTGAGAAAGAGAGAGAGAGAGAGAGAGGGGGGGGGGAGGGAGAGAGAGAGAGAGAGAGAGAAACCTCGCCGTAACGCCAGGAGCGAGACTCGGGAACGTGGCGCCCTGACCAGCTGTTCCCCCTTCGATTTCTGCAGAAGCCCCGGGACGTGTTTATACGCGTATGCGTGCGCGCGTATTGTGTAATACATGTGTTGCCGGATGCGGCACGATAAGCAGCGGCGGAGCTTGCGATGAAAAGATTCGCAGATAGCTCGGCACGTTGCGTAGCGCTAGGGGTCGACGACCGAGATCGAGAGTCTTGCCGGTTTACCAGAGATCGCGACCCGATTGAACCGTCCCTGAGAAGATGCGGTCGCGCGCCTCGTGGCAATCTGCGTCTTCATCTAGTCGGAAGATAGACTCCTGTTTGCAAATTGTAGAGAAAATGGAGGATCGGCAAAAATTGTGCAGAGGCCGCCGTCGAGGCCTCCGAAGAAGCAAGTTTACAACCCGCAAACTTGGAAGACTTGACAAACTGTTTAAGTAAAATTAAAAAATAGCTAAATCTTATTGTTGCAGTGATTTGAGAGACGTGACGAATGTACCTGTGCAAAATCGCGGGAATGGCACTCTAGCTCTCAGATCTTACTGTAAACGCGAGCAATAGTAAAGAGTACAACGTATTGTAACCGCGGCTTCCTATTTTACATTTTTCCAATCTCCTTTTTAAATCAGGCCGGGCGACCCAGTCTACGTAGCGAGCTCCAAATACGCGGGTGCAACATAAATTCAACTTTACGCAAAGTATGGCGCCGCGTGTGTACGTACTAAGAATACGAAATCATCGTTTACGTAGGCAAAGCGAAATATTGCGGTTGCGATATGCAGTTTATGCCGCTATTGCACGCGGTGTACATGTCGTCGGGTTTCCCTTCCTTAATTTAGGCACGCTTCATTTTTAGCAATTTTTTAATAATGCGTAGATTTCCGTAACACGAAGCCTCGCTTCCCACGCATTGTTTTGTAACGGCGGACTTTTCTGCTAATCTGAAGTCACAGTTTTGTTTTATTCGTCGCTTACAGAAACGTCGACAGAAACGATCGGTTTTATAACCAATTTTAAATATCGTATATCTCGATAATTCAACTTTAGACTTAAGTTTTATTAAAATGAGAGGAAGGAATGGTGGGAGAGCGTGTGTGTGTGTGTGTGTGTGTGTGTGTGTAAGAGGATATAAACTAAAAATGGATCTAGAGTAGGATATAATAAAGTTTGATTATCCAAATTAGAGATAAGGGAAAAGAATAAAGGCAATGGCAGCCTGTTACCGGTTTTACGATAACAAATGTGTATTTCAACAGAATTCCAAAAATTATAGACGTTTCGGTCGTAGAATCGACCCTCTTCAGTTTTATTATCCATCAGAGCAAAACTTTGAGTTAGTTTCGTTATCTTGGCGGCATCTCTGGCTTCCATTCGCTTGCAATTCGAAAATGATGGATAAATCCGTTTTTGCCTTATCGAGGATCGATTTTCTCTTTGCCGAAAATGTCCCTGGCTTTTTACGAGAGCGCGCTGATTAAGGGTTGCGATACCGTGCAAAGAATTGGCGCCCTACGCCACTGACAACGGCAACACACGCTCGTTCCCGTGGCACGCGCGCACATCACGTATGCACGACCACATCGAGCGACTTGCAGGAATCGCGAACCGACATCAGCACTCTCGAGGGGTAGCTGTGCAACCCCTCGTACGAGACCATCAGCATCAGCAGCAGCAGCAGCAGCAGCAGCAACAGCGGCAGCAGCAGCAGCGGCAACGGCAGCAGCGCCATCCCTCGATTCCGTCCATAGGGGAGCCGCAACGGAGGGACGCCGGGGGTGCTGCTGACTAGTCGAGCCTGCAGTGAGCGACGAGGACAACCCCGTGAGAATGACGGAGGTGGCGGCCGCGACGGGGAAGGGATAAAAGGGCCGAGGGGATGGTAACGCGGAGCGGCAGCGCCACCGACTAAACAGTCGCACCCCGTCGTCGCCGTCGTATTCGAGGCCACCCCCTGTCACTGGCGAGAGCCGCGACAGGGAGCGACCGGAAGAGTATCGGACGGGCGGACGGACAGACGGACGGACGGACGGACGGTCGGACGGTTCTCAGTCAGTCAGTCAGTCAGTCGGTCCACTCGGCGAGTCTCAGGGCGCAAGAGGAGAGCCACCCCCGTACACACATATACACACACATACACATACACACACACACGTAGATGCACGCATATACCAACGCAGCCACACGAATATACATACACACGCGCGTGCACACGTTACACGGGCACGTTTGCGTCTATCGTACGAGCCGCGGCAAGTACGGCACGGAGGAAGACTCCTTGACGCGGGCCACCCTCTCGAGCGGACGCGGGGAAAGAAAGCTGGGCGGAGGACTCGCGCAGGGATTGCAGGCCGCTGGCAAGCTGGCATGGTGGCGGTGGTGCATCCGTTTAAGGAGCCGCCCTCGCCGCGCCGATGACGAGGCTGCAGGTCCCACACCAGCGCGTACCACGTAGGACGAAGGCGAAGCCGGCCGACGAGCGGCCACCCCACCGAGACGGTCTCGTCGTTCACCGGCCCGACGGGCAGCCGCAGCTGCAGACAGCCGTGCTGGGTGACGGACGGGCGCGACGTAGACGCCGACGTCGCACAGACGACGGCGACGTCGTCCGCGGAACAGTAGTCGGAGCGGCCAGCAGCGACGGCGACAGAGTCGCGACCGTCGAGGGTGACGGCGTCGGTGGTGCGGTTGGTGCTGCGGTTGTTGGTGTCGAGCGTGTCGGTGTTGGTGTGCCGCGTGCCGGGTGCCTGGTGACCGGGCCGCGACGACGGCGCTCGCCATTGCCCACTCCCGGTGTCGACGGCGTTAGGACGACGGATCCGCATTGTCACTATGCCACGCTGTCTCATGGCGAAGAAGTGGAAGTGGAATCAGTGGCAGGCGCGCGTGGACGAGCAGAGCGAGCAGAAGGACGCGACGCCGCTCGGGGCCGCGCTGCAGGAGCAGCAGGCGCAGCATCACGCTCTGCACCAGACCGCGGACGCGATGGAGAAGCGGCCGCACAGGCATGAGCCCGAGGACGAGGAGATCGACGTGGTCGGGGACGTCGATAATCACCAGGTCGATCACCAGCAGACTTGTTGGGGGCCGCACAGTCCCACAGCGGGGGCCACGGCCCCCAGTCCGCCACCCCTCAATGCCTCCGGCGCCCTTTACTATCACGGTAAGTGCAACTCGCGGTGGGGCCCTTCCCTTTCGCTCCAGCGTCAATCGCCCGCTTTTACGCGCGGCATACCGCTCGCGGGGTGCAAGTTAAACGCGCCACGCCCAAGACCGAGGGTTTTCCCCCCCAGGAATGTTTGCGAGGAAAGGACACGGGGAAGAAACTGCCGACTTTCCTCCTCTCGTTCTTGTACCTCGAGACGACACCGCGGAGTCCAACCATCCGTCGAGCACGCAGGGGGTGACACACCCCCGTCTGTTACATGCCAGCGTGCGCTAGAAACGGATTGCGGTAGTTGTTTCAACGCGCCATGATTACGGCGGCACCGTCGGGAGTGTGCGGAAACCTGGCCCGCTAAAGGTCGCGGAATCGCGCGTCGATCATGCGAGCGTTTCCGCGACCTGTGGGAAACCGCCCGCAAAGTCGGCCATGTGTCCCCGCGTACGATACATGCGTACATGGCGACACACCCGTTCCTAGATCGCCGATCGCGATTCGGCGTCGACGAGCACTCGGCCTCGCTGACGTTGAGTCACGAGCCCGATATATCGTTAGGCCTGTTTTGCCTATCGCATTTATTGAACTCTCGATCGGACGGGGTGGACGCTGATTACGTTGACGTCGGTGGTTATTGTGTAACCGTCCGAATCCAGAGCGGTCGAATTGCTCTTGTGACGTAGACGTTGATGAGAACACGCCTACCAATTATGATATCGAATCACGGCCAAGTAAACCATTTATCGAGTAGGCTTCGTGAAAAGTTGCGTTGCACTTACACTTTGTACAATAACGTTCCTCAATTCCATGTGAATTACGTAATCGTACTTGGACGTGAGGAGGGCAGTTCTTAACTGTGATAATGTTTCATATTACTGATCTGAAAATAGTCCCACTATTGGCACGGCTTTTTAAAGAGAGACGAGAGAAAGTAAAAAAAAACTTGACTTTGTCAATTTTTGTTAAATTTTTCGTTCAAGGTGGCTCCTGCATGAAGGAGCGGATCAAGGGGGAAACCGCTAAGGGCATTGTGGTGTACAGATTTGCGGCATTACTAGGCATTCTTGGGCATTAGTTTGAGCATTAGGCCTTGCTGGGGCATTATAAAGATAAAATAAGATAATAAGATAAAGTAATGCCCACTGGGCGTTAGTGGGCATTGGTGTACAAGATTTTGGGCAGCGGTTTGCCCCTCGGAGCGGATAGTATAGGTGCTTCGGTGGGACCTTTTTATATTTTAAATTTATACGATTTTCTTCATAAAAAGATATTGTTTAATGCATTATTGTGCAAACGCGTTGACATACTAGATTATATGGACACGTTTAAAAATATGTGACGTTGTCAAATCTCAAAACGTTATATTTTTTACTTTACTAATAAGTATTTGCTTGTCGAAGTTGGTGACCTCGTATATTTAATAACGCATTTGAATTCTTATGACATTTGTTGTGTATATCTCATTTTCTGTTTTTAATATCTACTTTTTCCATTAAATAATATTATCCCTTAAAGTGCTTCTGCAAGCAATCGGTCCACAACCCGTGTTAAAAAGTACAATTTTAACATTTTGTCTTTCTTTTATTCTATCGGCGACCGGGTCTAAAATTTCGAGTACTGGTAGATAAAATTTTCAACCACAACATACTTAAATTTCAAATTTTTCTACTTTTGGTCGGTTTATGCAGGAGTCTTAACGTGTCATTTTTTTTTCGTATTATATTTTAGTATAATATTAAGTTTATATGTGTTAAATCGAGGGAAAAACCACTGACCAAAATCTTGTGTGTACACCAATGCCGGTGGGCATTACTTTATCTCATTATCTTATTTTATCTTATTTATCTTGTTTTTGTCTTCTTTTATACAAACACGATCAATTGTGAAGACTAAATTTATTATATTATTTATCTTGTTTTATCTTATTTCATCTTGTCTTATCTTAATTTATCTTATTTTATCTTGTTTTATCTTATTTTATCTTGTTTTATCTTAGTTTATCTTATTTTATCTTTATAATGCCCCAGCAAGGCCTAATGCCCAAACTAACGCCCCAAAAAAATGCCTAGTAATGTCTAGTAATGCCCAGTAATGCTGCAAATCTATACATCACAATGCCCTCAGCGGTTTACTCCTCGCGAATATCTATTAAAAGGACATAAAGTACCTACACATTTTAAGAATACAATTTTTTCGGTTTGGAGATGACGTTGAAACGGTAAATGCACTATTCTATAAGATAATGCAAAATGACGATCAACAGTCATACCCGTTGAAAGTAATTCTCGTCCGAGGGGGAAACCGCTGACCAAAATCTTGTATACCAATGCCTGCTTGTATGTACACTAATGCCCAGTGGGCTTTACATTGTCTCATTTACCTCCTTTTATCTTATTTTATCTTATTTTATCTTTATAATGTCTCAGCAAGGCCTAATGCTCGAACTAATGCCCAAAAAATGCCTAGTAATGCCTAGCAAGGCCCTGTAATGCCGCAAATCTGTACACCGCAACGCCCTCAGCGGTTTCCCCCTCGTGTAAAATACACGAGTGAAAACAAAAGTAACAGAAATTTCTTTTTTCCGGCCAGCAATATCATCGTAGTTTAATAAGATGAAATAATTCATAAGAAATAAAATCGTTATAAATTTATATTCTTCTCATGTAAATTTATACGCGAATGTTATTCCACAAAAATAGGGCATAAAAAAATTTTGCGCGCACAAGTCAATCGCTGGCGCTTTGAAGCTAACGCCTATAAGTATTCTTGAAAGCCAGGACTTACAGAGTAACGACCTCTTTTTATCTCATTTATGCAGCTTATAGACAGTGCAGTGCGCACGTGCTCGTACAATGGTGCAAATGACGCTGTTATGTAACAAGTGTTCTCTGCGTGTCGCTATGTGCGCCACGTTTGAGTTTTGCCAATCAATTTCTTCGGCGCTGAATTAATGATTATGCAAGACTTTGGTGCAACGTCGATTTCTTTCGCTGAGTGTTTAAAATAATTGTTTTTAAGTAGCGTCAAATAATCGTGCATTTGTTCAATCAAATTTACATTGTACAAATATTGCAATAAATTATTTTTCAAATGTGTACAATATTCTAAAAGATATTTGACAACAAAGCTCTCGACGCACGAAAGAATTTTGTGCGCTCGCTATTGTACTTTTTAATAAATGTCCAAAAGATGTTAACGTCTACTTAATGTGTCGGCATACACTCACAGAGATTAAATAAAAAAATTATATGGAAAGTCATAAAGTTTATCCATTATCGCAGAGATTAAATTTCTAACGGGATAATAAATTACAGTCACGCAAGAAAAGCGTAAGGACTTATGTCTGTTAACAGGTTTCATCGTCCTTGACTTTCGAGTGCGATTAACGATTGATTTTTACTCATTGGGTAATGTAATATGTTACGTGATATGATCGCACCACATTTTTGACCATCCGTGAGGTAAAGTCCAGGGTCGTAATGATATTTTTTACAGTAAAGGATATCTTAGAAAGGAATTGTACTATTAATCTTTCCACAACTTATCGTCAAAGGTATGATTTGATTAGAAAGTCTAAGCAGCTCGTTAAAATTATTCACACGCACGAAAAGTTTTATTATACAGGGTGTCCCATTTTAACTTTCACACTCGAATATCTCGAAACCACGGTGGTTTTAGGGAAAATGTTTCAAACAAAATTGGTAGAAAATTGGTCACTTGGAGTCATTTTCAAGGTCATTTGAAGATCAAGTCCAATTTTTTAAATAGAAATCCATACTTTGTACTGCAGATTCCGATTCTTCGTTGAAAAGTAAATAATTTTTGTTTGAAACGTTTTTTTATAAAACGCCCTCCTTGTTTCGAAAACTCAGGTGTAACCTTTAGCGATCCAATGATAATGACTCACTTTATAACAGACACCGAACTTTTTTGTAGATATCTGACATTTTATAATTTTATATATTTACATTTCTTATCTATTAAACGTAAAATATATTAAATATAATATACATTTATAATGAATATCTGGTCGCAATACAAGAGAATCGTAACTTTTCGTTATCTACTCGAAGTGAGTTTATCTGAGAATTTTTTTTTAAGTCAAAACGTCTTCGTTGTAATAAACGTTCTCGTGATTAATTATGTGAGTATTATTATATAGCAATTATAAAAAATTCCACGGTACGAAAATGTCACTTTGTTTAATTATGTAGATAGTAGATCAAGTATAATTATTTATACTTGCTGTTTGTTTTGCGCACACAGGGTCGATAAAGATCAGAGGCGATAAACCGACAGGAATGTGCGGAATGTTCATTCAAGGTATATAAATATGCTTTATGGGCTATATCTGTGATCTGTGATAGATAACGTAGATATAGAATCCACCTAGAAGTCATAGATAATCCATGCTACTTTATACATCACTCTACATAATGATTTCATTGTTTCCTAATTATAAGATGCTAAATTAGATAGAGCCGAAAATTATCGCGGGGCATCGATATCAATCTAATTTAACCCGATACTTTGGATAAGGGGCCGCGCTCTTCGCTTTATTAAAAGCGGACCTTTTTCACCTTTCTTCCGAGGATAATAATAACGCCAGCGAAAATAGTCTGTCTCTATTCATTTAAATTATAGTTCTTCGGAAAAGTCTAGTTTATTAATCAGAGAACTTCGGGCAAGTACCATTTATAGCGAGATTGTACTCCGATATATAAATAAATGTAATGATAAAATAATGAACTGTAAGAGACCGAGACCTTACACAAGAGTTGCATTCTACTCTTCCCCTTCTCATATCGACTGATCTCCTTCGCAGGGTCGTATCTCGGTTTAGCGCAAGTGTTTGTACTTGAACGCTCATTCCATTTTGGAAAATTGCGTAAAATCGAGACACGAGACCGGCGAAAGATTAGTCGGTATGTCTTTTATAAAGACCTTCTCTTTTTTTCAATTTACTTGTGCATTCTGTAAACAGACAAGCGCAAATAGAGCAA